GAGAATCCTCAAGCAGACTCCCTGATGAGTGCAGAGCCCAACACAGCACTGGATCCCAGGACCCTGAAATCATGACCTGAGCTGAAATCAGGAGTCGGCCGCTTAACTGATTGAGCCACCCAGGTGCCCGACCACTTTATTTTCTAAAGTGACTGTATCATCTCATTTTCCAACCAGTAATATCTATACTTGGTGTTGCCAGTATTTTATTTTATTTTATTTTTTATTTTTTTTTAAAGATTTTATTTATTTATTTGCCAGAGAGAGAGCACAAACAGAGGAAATGACAGGCAGAGGGAGAGAAAGAAGCAGGCTCCCGTGGAGCAGAGAGCCCGATGCGGAACTCGATCCCAGGACCCTGGGACCATGACCCGAGCCGAAAGCGGAGGCTCAACCCTCTGAGCCACCCAGGTGCCCGCCAGTATTTTAAATTTTGGCCATTCTAATGGGTGTGTAATAGTATTTCACTATGGTTTTTTGTTTGTTTTCAATTTTTAATTGAAGTATAGTTGACATATAATATTATGTTAGTTTCAGTTGTAAAGCATAATGATTTCACAGTTATAAACATTATGAAATGCTCACCACTGTAAGTGTAATTTCTACCTGCCACCATGTGAAGTCAGTACAATATTATTGACTATATTCCCTTTGCTATTCTTTTCATTCCCGTGACTTCTTTATTTTATAATCAGAAGTTTGTACCTCTTAATACCTCTTAATGTAACTACTAAAACTTAATTTATATATGTGGCTTCCACGTTATTTCTGAGACTGACTATACAAACAGTGGCCATACCATATTTAACTATATTTATATAGAACTTTGACCCCCAGCATCTGCAGCAATTGGCCTAGAAAAGTCAAGACTTGGTCAATGAGTCCCAATTTCCTATTAGTTGCCCCCACTTACTCTTCAGAAAACAAGGATAGTTAAGAAATCCCTTCTCCCTTTGTGTTCCAAGAAAAGGATAAATGCAAAAGACCAACTTGCTTTTGCATATTCCAACATAAACTCACATCTCCCCTTCCTCAACAACTCCCTGGCTTTACAAAACCTCAGCATTTAAGCCTCATCTTCCAGATGTTTCTGGATGAAAGTTCTCCCTGTTACAACAGCCTGAACGAAATCAGTCTCCTTCATGTTCTGGGCCAATCCCTCTTTCCCTTATTGCGACCTGCTCTCCAACCACTAAATGAGAGCCACGTTTTCTGTTCGTTATAACACCCCACTTATACCAGCTCTCTGAATTCTTTAGAGTAATGTTAGCAGCTGTAACAAAGAGGCCACAGAATGCAACGTTCCCATGAAAATCCAGACTGTCTTTGACACAGGGTCATTCTAGTCATCACCATTCCATCCATCATGAAGGAGGAAAGAACGTATCCAGGCCAAAAGTTTTCTGCTAAGACACTGAAATAAAAGTTCATACACCTCATTAGATCCCAGTACATTGGTGAGAACCTAATCACACAGCCCCACCCAGCTGCAAAGGAGGCTGGGAAATGTAGTCCCTAGTTGGGCAACCAGCCTCAGCTATACCTCCCTAGTTGGGCAACCAGCCTCAGCTATACCTCTGAAACTAAGCATTGCAGTTCTTCCCTAGGCAATCTTTCCGGAGGTATGGAAGAAGAAGGGAACAGATTTTTTTCAAAGTCTCAATGAAAACATGAAAGGAAGAAACCTTAGGATAATGGTGATAGGAGATCCTAGGAAGACAGTTTTATACCAGAGGTAGAGGGCAAGAAGTCCAGATTGGAACAAGTCAAAGTCTCTGGGAAAGATATCCAAGAAAATGTGTCTAAACACCTAGAGAGGAAATTGAGGCAACTGATGGAAAATGTGCATTACCCGTTAGGCAACCATTTATTGAGCACCTATGCTATGCCAGGCACTCTTCTAGGTGCTAGGGAATAAAACAGCACATAAATACCAAAATCATTGCTTCACGGATCTTACAATCAAGTAGAAATTCTAGGGCAGTTGGGGTTGAATTAATAACAAGTATGCAGAAAACTAGCAAATGTCTTAAAAGGAAATTTACCCCACCCTGAAGGAAACTACATTCAACTCTTTCAGCTGACTCTTTTAGTATTTCTGTTTTTAAATTAATGTGGTTACATTGCCACAATTTTTCCCGTTTGCATTATGCGCTGATGTCCCAGATAAACAATGAGGATTTTGCCCCTTTTGATCTTTGTCCTCATCACATATGAGCCCTTTCCCCTCTTGCTTCTCACTAAAGTTAAATTATAATGCTGGTTAGATTGACATTCAAATTTTAACAGTATTATGATTATATAAAGACATTAGTAGCCAAGTCGTATAATACATTGTCATTACCACAACAATACGATGTCGTCATTAATTTTTCTTTGCAAGTTTTGTTTTCCTAGGCTTGGAACACTCTTCTGCCCCACTTTTTGCCTAGTTAACTCTTATTTATCTTTCAAGTCCTAGTGTAAATGTCACATTTCAGGAGAGCCCTTGAGCATCCTTTTTCTTTACCCCACAAAGGTAAAGGAATTACTTAATGCCTTCCTTGAAAATACAGGCTTGGAGAATGGGGGCAGAAGTGCTATTACTGGTGGTGGGGAAAAAATCATGCCCTGGAGATGTACTCTTTTGGACCCTGCCCTGGCCACTTATGTTTTCACAACTACTTATTAGTTTATTAGTAGTATCAAATCTTCCCACCAAGAAATTAGATGTTGCAGTCATTCACATTATAAAATAATGACATTTCGAAAACATCACAGTGTCTCTTTAAGTAAATCTGAGCAACTGTTTGTTTATAAGTAACTAAATACAGAGGGAGAAACCTAAAACTGCAGTGTCCCGAGCCACTGCTGACTTGGTATCCATCTGCAATTTCCTATGAAACAAATCTTAGATTATTATGACTTAAACGCAGATGTTTTTGTGGCTGTATACATTTAATTTGCATGTTACTGGTCACAAAGCTAAAATATGGGATTTCTCCATTTGCTACGAGGGACCTGGCAACCCTCTCAGCGAAACAAATGATTAAATGAACCAAGTGGTGGTAGTGCCTTTGGATGTTCACATCAGTGTTCTCAACTCACCCAGACTCACAAGAGCCAGATGTATAATCCAGTATGCCGACTAATTAGTTCATAATGAGATGTACAAATGACCCCCCTCTTTGCCCCAAGTGGGACTTGAGATTTGAATTCAGTTCTTGTTCGTGGGCTCCCCACTTTGCCGACTCTATTCAGATCATTCTTCTGTTAACAAGCTCTATTTTCGGCTATTGATACTGCAGTTTTCTCAGGTACATTCCAGGCCTAGGAGAAACATGTTATTTCATCACCAAACTTGGATATTTTCCAAATTTCCTCACTAAAAGGTTACTGCTAGATTTGATCTTTTGTGTGTACTGATGCCTCCATCTCCATTCTGAGGATATCTCCATACAGGCATGCATTGTTTTACTATGCTTTATTGCACTTCACAGATACTGTGGGTTTTTTTGTTTTTTTGTTTGTTGGTTTTTTGGTTTTTGTTTTGTTTGTGTGGTTTTTTTCTTTTTACAAATTACAAGTTTGTGGCAACACTATTCTGAGCAAGTCCATTGATGTTATTTTTCCAAAAGCATTTGCTCACTGTGTATCTCTGTGGCAGGTTTCGTAATTCTCATGGCATTTCAAACATTTTCCTTATTAATGTGTTTGTTATGATGATCACTGATGGGTTATTATGACTTGCTGAAAGTTCAGATGACAGCACTTTTTTTTTTTTTGAAGATTTATTTATTTATTTGGGAAAGGGAGGAACAGAGGGAGAGGGAATCTCAAGCAGACTCCCCACTGAGCGTGGGATGTGGGACTCCATCTAGTGACCCTGAGATCAGGACCAGGGCTGGTTAACCGATTGAGCCACCCAGAAGCCCCCTGAGGACAGTATCCTTAAAGCAATATATATATATATTTTAAGATTTTTAAATTTATTTGACACAGACACGGTGAGAGAGGAAACACAAGCAGGGTAAGTGGGAGAGGGAGAAGCAGGCTTCCTGCCACGCAGGGAGCCCAATGTGGGGCTCGATCCCAGGACCCCGGGATCATGACTGGAGCTGAAGGCAGCCGCTAAAGAACTGAGCCACCCGGGCGCCCCTTAGGCAATATTTTAAATTATGCACCTTCTTTTAGACATAATGCTATTGCACACTTAATAGACTATACTATAGCATACACATAATCTTTGTGTGTACTGGAACACCAAAAAATTCTTTTGATTCGCCTTACTCCGATTTTCACATTATTGCAACGGTGTGCCTGTACACCTTCTGCATGAACCTGTCAAAGCTCCCTGGCTGTTTCCAGCTTCTAGGCAGAGGCAGACCAGGTAGGTTATGAGCTTGCCTCTCATTTAGGAACTGGTCCCTCTAACATAGCGCTGGAAATGACAAGCAAAGGGCGTTTGGGGTTTTTCAAAGTGCCCCTTACCGAAATGCACACTCCCTCATTGGGATAGGACGTTATGTAGCTGAAGGAAAATCACTGCATGGGTTTCAGGCAGGGCTACAGAGAAAGGAGCAAAACCAAAACCAAAATCACATCAGCACCAAAAGGAGGTGGGTGCACCCCAAGGGCTGTTTCACCCCCTAATTCTGCCCAGAGAGGACCCCGGGTTCTCCTTGGGTTTGTACTTTCAGGTTGCTGCGGCCTCCTACCTGGGTAAGGCCTCCTATCATGAATTAATAAACTGGACATCGGCAGTTTCCCCCTTCACACTTGCGCAGCGTGATAAACCGCAACACGTCAACCTCTGCCACGACGCCAGTATCCCCAAAGCCCCGCGTGCCCTTCCTTTTGCCCATCTCCAAGATGGCGGCGGCTCTGCCGCCGCGTCGCGGCCCCGCCCCGTCCCGCCCCGCCCCCGCGCATGCCGACCCGCCCCTCCTCCCGCCCGCGGGGCCGCGCCGCGCATTCCCGCCGCCCCTCCCCGCGCGAGCTCCACCCAGGTCGCAGGCAGCGCTGTCGGCGGCGCCTATTTCCCGCCATTGTGCGAAGTGGAGGCTGGGGGCCCGCACGCGCCGCCTGCCCGTGGCCAGCAGCTTCTCGGCTGTCGCCGCCACAGCCGCGGATCCCTGAGGCGCTGGGAGGCCGGGCGGCCCGAGCCCCGAAGCTCGCCGTGCGTGGGAGGGCGCGGGCTACGAGCGACCGAGCCCCCGAGGAGGAGCCGCGGCGCGGGACGCCGGGCCGCGGCAGCCCCGGCCCGTCGGCGAGATGCCCTGTGGGGAGGATTGGCTCAGCCACCCGCTCGGGATCGTGCAAGGCTTCTTCGGTGAGTGGCGGCGCCGGGGGCGGGCCGGGCGGGCCGGCGGGCCGCCGAGTTTCCCGAGCTCGGGGCCCGGCCCCGGCGCGCGGCTCCACGCGGGGCTCCCCCGAAGGCTCTCGGCCGGCCGGGCCTGCGCGGGCGACGGTGAGGCACCCCGATGCCGGTGCCAGTGCGGGGGCCCGGGCCGCGGCTTCCCGGCTCGGCCGCAGGTGCCTCCCACCTGCCCGATTCGCGATTCGCGAGCGACCAAGGTTACGCGGCGAGGAGCCGGCGGTCGGCCGTGATTGCCGGCCTCGCTCCTCTCCGTGGCGCACCGGGGACCCGCGCCCCGCGTGCGGCAGTTCGCGGAGGGGTCCTTGAACCTTGGGGACCCGCTGAGACCGGGCGAGGAAAAGCACTTTGCCTACGGGGAGCCTGCAGGATATTTCAAAACTTCCGGTGTTGGGGGGAGTGCTCGCTCGCCGCAGAAGTTGGCTCTAACTACTGTATTGCACACATCCTCTCTTTCCGAGATGAGGTTGGGTGTAAGGGCTTAATTTTGCTCTTGGGATGACTTTTCCACCTGCCAGGTAGACGTCTGCTCTCGTGCCAGAGCTAGCGAGAAACGTGGGACTGCTCAGACGAGCTCCTGCGCAGAAAGAGCCGAGAATGCTGCAGACAAGCTTAGTACATTTTAGTTGCAGTTTATTTGTAAATGCTACTTTCCCGTGAAGCGTCCACGGGAGGAATTTTAGGTTTGCGTGCGGTGAACTGGTCATTTTGGCCCCCTCCCTCCTTATTTTGCACTTAGGAGTGGTGGAGGCAAACCAGGAATCCCTTAGGTTGTAGCACCTGGAGATAACTTGGCGTTGTAGGAGTGGCCCGCTCCTGGGAAACACCGTGGGGTATTGGTGAGAAGGGCTAGTGAGACGCTAGACAGTCTCCAGCAGCCAAATCAGTGGCGTAAAATCCATGTATTTCTGGTAGGAGGGACTCAGCAACTCTTTATTCATTTTCCATAAAATTTGAGCTAGTTTAGTTTTCTGGTTTCCTAGGCCGAAACTTACAAGCAGCAAATTAGGAGGAGGCCTGGATAGGCGTCCGGATTGTAGCCCGTGAACACTGACAAGTGGTAAAGACGAAATCTACAACTATGTGTATATAAATTTTTAAAAAGGTTAAAAAAAAAAAAATCACTATAACCATAGGGTGCTTTGGGGAAGGGGCACCTATACCTCCACTAAATTCTCGTTCACAGTGAATACTGGAGCCCATAATTAATGTCCAAAACAATGGCCCCAAAATGTGGAGTGAAGATTAAACTGCACAGTTGGTGGGTGTAGATGCATTGGTAATTTTTAGGGAAATTCCATCAAAAGTATAAAGTTTTGGTGCTTAAGGGCAAAGTTCCAGTTACAGATATTGAGAACGTTCATGAGAAATAGCCCATACTTTAGTCTTGACAGATACATGGGATAATTTTATATTTGATGTAGTTTTGAAAGTGTTTGTCAGATTTTGCATACTAAGTGTGTGATCTCAAGGGGCATGTTTCATTATAGTGCAGAAAGGGTATGTTTGGGTATGAAATACTGGCTTTACAGTATTTTGTAAATTTTGTAAATTGTCAAGGGCACCTGGACCTTGTTGATATGTTTCCCCACAGGATGCCTTCTTTTCCCATATAGATTGTGTGTTATAGAGAAGAAAATAATATGCTTTATAGTCATAATTTTTTGGGAGAAGCTCTTCTGAAGTATATATCTTCACTGTATTTTTTTTTAATCACCGTGAATATATTGAAAGCCTTTATGATAACAGCATTACAGGTATGTTTCTGTGAAAAGTAAGTCACAAGGTGTTAAACTTGTAGACTCACTTCTGTTTTGTAGTAAATTGTTTTAAATTGATTTTCATCCAGATAGAGAAATGTCTCTAGTGGTTTATGAGACCTTTCTTGGCTCCTCCCCTACTCAGCTTTCAGACCTCATCACGGCATTCCCTCTCCTATTGAACCTTCTTTCATTTCTTTGTTTTGAATCTTTCCTCTAGGTCCTCTGCATCAGCTGTTTCCTTTGCCTCATCCCCACCTCGTTCCACTTGTACATTCCTGGCTAACTCTTTTCTTTTGGGAACATAAGTTAGGTACTCCCTGCTTCGATTACTACAGGATCCTATGTCTCCTGGAAAGTAACATGTGTTAATCTAAAAAATAAAACTGCCAGTTACTTTAACAGTAAAAATGAGTTTATTAGAAAATACAGAGAAACTGCAGTTCGGGACATGCAGGCTGTGCAAACTGTAGACAAGTCCCACAAACAAAGGAGAGGAACTTTATTTTACAGAGGAGGACATTGGGATGGATTATTTTGAAGGAAAGCCCATTGGAGAAAAGCAGGAGTTGAGGGTGATGCTAGTTTCTCAGTGGTTGAGTTGTAAGGATAGTAGACTTCCTGTAGGAGATGCGATGTACAACTCTCCCTTTTGGTGCCTGTAATTGATTCTTTCCTGTTGCTGAGTCTTCTTGTTAGGGGTCTGTAAATGACAGTTCTTATAATTGACATTGGGTGGTACAGCTTCCCTTTTCAGCCTCTTCTAGCTCCTTTACTTATTTTTCTTAATTAATTTTTTAAAAAGATTTATTTTCCAGAGGGGGGGTGTGTGAGCACAAACAGGGGGAGAGGCAGACTCCCCGTTTAGGAAGGAGCCTGATGTGGGACTCAATCCCAGGACCCTGGGATTATGATCTGAGCTGAAGGCAGATGCTTAATGACTGAGCCACTCAGGTGTCCCTTCTTAATTTTTTTTTTTTTTTGAAGATTTTACTTCCTTATTTGAGAGAGAGAGAGAGAGAGAGAGCGCGAGCGCTCTTATGAGCAGTGGGAGGGGAGGAGGGAGAAGCAGACTCCCTGCTCAGCAGGGAACCCAACCACGGATTCCATCCCAGGACCGCAGGATTATGACCTGAGCCAAAAGCAGATGCTTAACCACCTGAGCCACCCAAGCGCCCCCCAGGTCCACTTTAGTGAGGTTTCCTTTTATTAATTTTCACATATGTAAAGTAAGTTGTTGAAGAACTTGTTTCCTGGGTTCCTTTGCTACGTTTTTTACTCAGGGAGTTGAGGGCCTATATCTGACTTATTCACCCAGTATATCCTCATTGCCTGGAATACACCTTGTACGTTAAAAATGCTCAATGAATATGTGCTGAATAGAGGCAGTGAGAAGACTGATGAATCAATCAGAAATGTTGTGAACTGGGATGGTACTGTGACCACAAGTCTCAATTTAGGACAGTCCTGTTGGACCTCCTATTCTCAGAGGATTCAAGATCCTACCAGGTTTGAGTTACCTTCCCATGCAAGTCCTAATTCTTTCTTCTTCATTCAGATCGGAAACTTTGAAATTCAGTGAGTGGCCAGTCGTAACTACAGGGATCATAATTCATTTTTGTGATGCAATCTGTATCTTGATTTTGTATGTGCTATATTACAGTTGTTCGTAATGTACATTTTTTTCCTTTAAGCTTTCATAAAATATCTTTAAGGTTTCCCTCAGAGTTTCTACAAGATCTTATGTACAGGACATTGAGATCCAACGGTTTAAATTATGATTTAGAAATACTTTGGTTCAACCTATCTTTGTTGGTCTCTGTTATGTGCGTAGTGCTAATGGCTTAGTCCCTACGGTGACTGTTCATTTAGTGATCCATATCACATCACTTCCTTTAAACAAAGGCAGGAATCGTAATTTTTTAAGAAAGTTCTATTTACTTTTTTCTCTTTTAATATTTAAAATAAATTTTCTTTACTTGAATTAATGACTTCTGTTAATTTTGGACAAAGCAGGAATGCATATCACTCTGATTTCTTTCACTATTTTCTCTTCAGATTGTTGGTTTGGTCAAGATCATTATTACTGGTTACATTCAAGGTACTTTGTATCTAACAGACTAGCTCATGCAAAAAGCAGTGGTTTGTGGAGGAGGATAGGGAGAAGTTATTTGATCACTAGTATTTTATTTATTTATTTTATTTTTTAAAGATTTATTTGAGAGAGAGGTAGAGAAACAGAGAGTATAAGCTGGGGGAGAGGGGCAGAGAGAGAGAGAGTCCCCAAGCAGACTCATCACCGAGCACAAAGCCTGGCGCAGGGGCTTGATTCCAGGACGGGAAATCACAACCTGAGCCGTAACAATGAGTCAGATACTCAACTGACTGGGGCACCCAGGTGCCCCTTGATCACTATCATTTTAGAGAATTTAAAGCAATAATAAAATCGACTAAAAGTCAGTCTGCTTTTTTATTGTCACCATGAGTCTAGACCATTCATCACCTTTTGTTTGTACCCACCTTAGATCTTTCCTATCATCCTGACCTTGGTAGGCCACTGAAAAAAGGCATTTGTTATAAGGCTGTAGAACCCAGAGATAGGGAGGGCATCTTGGCATCCCAAGAGCAGAATCAGGAACTGGAAAGATAGCAGGAATCTAAGCAACTCTTATCAGTTTTTCTTCCTTAGGCCACATTCATCTCTGTACATGAATTTAATTACCTCAACTCCACAACTCCCAAATTCACTTGTTCTCAGTTTCACACTAGGTAGCATCTTTATCTTAATCCCAGATGTTAGGGCTAGAGAATCTGATTGGCCCAGCATGGAGTCAGGAGTCCACTCATGCACCAACAGCTATGGCCAGGGCACAGAGTTTTGTAGGACAGTCCTGACTGTTGAGGCCCACACTTCAATTGGGGCAAGTTCTCTGAGAAGTACCTGGGGCAAAAAGTACAAATATGTATATATGCATTTTGAGGTTATTAAATAATACCTTGCACATGGTTATAAAAAAATCACAGTGGTATTAAATGTTCAGTAAAAGGATGCTCTTTCCCCATAGAGGTAACCACTTTTGTTTCTGCTTTTAGTGCCTGTATTTATTTATTTTTAAGATTTTATTTATTTTAAACAGCATGAGCATGAATGGGAAGGACAGAGGGAGAGAATCTTAAGCAGACTCAGAGCTGACT